GGGGGGGGGTCGAAAAATCCGAAATTTAGCGTTACGTATTTTACGATAACGGCCCTCAATTTCTATACGATTAGGTTGCTCTATTTTTGGCATCCATCCATAAATTTGTTTTTCTTTTCTTTTATACTTTTTTACTGATGATGATATAATAATTTATAGTTTATTCATATTATGTCTTACATCTATTAATAGCTCCCCCCCTTTTTTTGTTGGGGGGGGGAGAGGGGCTTATAAGAGAGGGGTATGTATATATTCATCTCATTTTTTTGCCAAAAAGAGAGATTGGATGACATGCTATTGAAAATTGAAGATGTGAAACTTTGAGTTACCGTGCACTTGATTATTTAATATTCCTCTAACCGTCTTCCCTTGAATATTTTTGCGACATTGAATGAGGGTACATTTCCCTCACATTGATCGGAGAAAATCATCTGTTGAGAAACAACAGAGGGGAGAACACCTGAAATTTCAGTGTAAAAGTGTCCCCTCCGATGTGCAGCACATGACGCGCTCTTTGCCAAACTATGACATTTTTTATCAAACGTTGCAGCAATGTAAATGGAAACGATTTGACAACATAGCAATAAAACGCTTTTAAAACGTTTGCCTAACACATCGAAACAACATTGTTTAACAACGTTTTAACCAACGTTTTTTAAAAGCGTTTTTACACCGTTATTATAAACGTTGCAAAAACGTTTTTAAAAGATGTCGACTTGAAACTTCTTCACAACGTTTTGACAACAATTTTAAAAACGTTGCCACTAAACGTTTTCAGAAACATTGTAAAAAAACGTTGCGGCAACGAACCCGCAACCATCCTTGCCGGGCGGGTATACCCTGTTCTGGTGGAACTAATCATTGTGGCCGGTTATGTGCTCTCCTGTTCCATTCTTCGCGTCTCTACCATGTCGAAAAATTCGAACCTATATTTTCGGGTTATCTTATCTGTGTAAACTGCGGACAAAGCGCACTGCTTTTTAACAGAACAATCCGTAATTTTGTCAGGAATGATCGAAGAAAAGTTCCCTCTAGTCTCAAATTCTCGCATACTTCTTCCTGAAAGATCTTGCCCAGCGTCTCTGTTAGCTCTGTCCCCTTGGTGGACCTCACGCCAATGCGCTCGGCAATAGCAACACCAGACATTAAATGCCCTATGAGAGGGCTAGAGGAACCTAACAAACTAAAAGCTAAATTGGACGGAGTTAAACAGAGAGGAACCAAGCCACATTGGGATCGAACCGAGAAAAAGAGGTTTAAAGTTTGGCTCCTGCATAAGACTCAATGTAAAAGATAAACTTCAAGTTCAATTTCTGCAAAATTTGCTCCAACAAAAACTTCGAATTTTTGGCGATAGATACTAGAGCAGTGGTTGAGTTCAATACCACTCATAACTCAATTTTTTCCAAAATGCGGGTTGGTTCCTTTCTGTTTAACTCAGTCCAATTGTTCTCCCAAATCCAAACAACCAGTAATAACTCAGCCCTTTTTTTACCATATTTGGTGCAAAAGGTAAACCTCGCGTTATTAAAGAAAGAAGGCAGAGTTACATACATCCAGAAAAAACTGATCCCATTCCTGGATTATTCCCATAAATATTATCTAAGCTACGCTCTTGAAAGTTTGTAGTGCATGGATGCAACATCTAAGAAGACGTTTAGTCTTAATATCAATTTCCGAAATTATTGAAGTCGGGAATTAGTAATTTAAAAAGTGGGACCTTTAAAAAGACCCCAAAAATTCATGACTTTCATAATCTTAAAAATTTAAACCAAAGACGTGGTAACTCGAATGCGAAGCAAGTCGTTACTTGAAATTCTCTTACGGGGTTTCAGCAGTAGAATCCAACAATTAAAAAAAGGAGCAAATTGAGGTTCATTGTCTAAGATGAAGAACTCTGCCAATCAGGTAACGAGCAGACCCCTCTTCTCCCGAAAGCCCTGGCTCTCTTTTAACTAAATAAAGCTTAGCTCAGCTTGGTGCAAATTACTTGTCGTGCTGTTCACGGAGAGAGAACAACGGCAGAGCAATTGGAGCATCTTGAAGACGTTGATCCCGAACGAACAAAAGCAAAACAAAAGGAGGTGGAATAATGGTGTGCGTCATATTCGGTTGTGAAGTTCCGATTACTAACTAAAGACGGGAGGAATTGTACTGTTGCCAGCTCGCATAAAAATCTCTCGCAATAGTTGTTTGATCCACCCGCATTCTCTCGATTATATAAAATCGAGAGAATGCGGAATAATCGAGAGAATGCGGAATGAACTATAGTTTATGATAAAAAGGCGCATCTGACGATAGGTCTGTTGGAAATTTACGCTGAGAGTTGAAAAAACGGCGTTTTTTAAAGTAGGTAAATGGTACGAATTTCATCATGAACCCGCCGGAAAAGTCTGAAATCCACCCCAAATTCCACAGTCAGCCCAAAAAATTGCGCATTCTTGAGATTTTCGCTTCAAATCGTGTGCTTAAGGTCCGGGCCCCAAGCACGGAGGGGGGGGGGTCCGAGG